TCGCGCAAGTGTTGGTTGAGGTTGGAGCGAACAAGGATGCAACCGATGCCGACGACTATACAGCTCTTCACTTTGCGTGTGAAGAAGGCCACTTGGAAGTGGCACGTTTGTTGGTTGATTCTGGAGCCAACAAGGAGGAAACATGTGCAGATGGTTCAAGGCCCTTGCATTTGGCAGCTCTCTATGGCCATGTGGAACTCTTGCGCTTGTTGCTTGCGAGATCCCCGGTCAATGGAACCGATGATCATGACTGTCGATCTGGGCCGAAGCGCCGCAGGTTGGAGTGAAATCAAGAGGCGGAAAAACATAGCTTCTTGTTACTACTAGTAGCGATGCACTTGTTCCTAGTAGCTTAATGGTTTTCAGTTGAAGTCAGGGGAAGATGGAGAAGGACCTAGGCCTTCGGCAACCTTTGCTGCCTTCGGTGTTTGTTTTCGTGCAACCGGAATTGGTTAGTCTTTGTCATACACACCTATCAGAACCGCAGTGCTTTTATCTGAGGCCGTTCCAGCTGAGAAAAAAGGGGCATGAAGCTGAGGTTTTGCACATGTTCATTGCATTCAAGTGTCTCAAGACACTGAAGGGGCAAGTCTAATCGTTTTTTGAGCAAGTTGCTTTGGAGGGTAACTCTTGAGCTTTGGATATTGAGGTTAGAGCCAAACGACAGCCAAAGAAAGATCTGGTGCAGCTTGGCGGCAGTTAAGTCCCTCGGGATTTGCTAAGCTTAGCAGCTTTCCTGCCAAAAACCATGAGCTGGTGGCCCAAACCAGAGCTGAGTTCGCCTTCGCTTGGTGAACTGGCGCCCACACCGCGAAGTCTCCGGGAGCTCCATGCGTCCGAACTCGGCCACGCCACATGGCCCTCAGCCCCTGAGGCCCCTCTTCGTGCAAGAGCGGGGGCACGGCCGCGACGGCGAACTCCTGCGGGACTTCATCCTCAAGCGAGAACATCTCAAAGAGGACAGCATGTTTTCGGAGCAGGTGGAACTTGCTAACTCTTACTTATTTGCTGGTCGTTTGCAGATATTAACAGGAAGGCTGGGGAAACGAAGGCTCACCGGTTTCAGGGGCTGAACTTGCAAGATGTCTCTGTCATAGGACCAACGTGAACTGGCCGTCAAGCGTTGGCTCATTCGGGAGGATTTCTTCGACGAATTCTTTCAGGAACCTGAGCAAAGCATTCAACAGTTCTTGGGCCCATGGAGCGGTTTGGCATGGGGATGTGGTCGTGGGTCAAGCAAGACCAGGAGATCAATTATCCTAGACACCTAGCCCTTGCAACAAACCTTGATTGGCTAGTCAGCCACATACTGTTTGACTCACTGCGTGTCCGAAACCACCAGCTGGATCCAGCTGGTATCCAAGCAAGGAGTACTTGGAGCACTATGCTCAAGCAGGCCAGTTCACTTGTACGTCTTGCCACATCCTGACTCGGACTCATACATACAGATTATCAGGTGCATGAGGCACTTGCTTTGGAGTCGGAGTCTAGGTCCTCACAGTTGTTTTCTTGTCATGGTGACACACCAATGAGGACCAACACAATTCCTTTGTTTGGCAAAGCGAAAGCCAAATATCTCCTGGTCCTCCAGGCGAAGTTGAAAGCATCGAAGATTCGGAGCTGGAAGAGAAGGCACACCAGCTGGTCGGGGTGCCCAAAGAACCTGGTTCTCCGTCCTGGTTCTCCTTCTCGGGTGTTTCCTCCACCGAGCTCGGCCGCACGGAGTCGGATGAGGTCGAAGCCTGCAAGGATATCATGGTGTCCTCAAAGGGCAATCAGAAGGCCAGGAAGACGCTGAGAAAGCGGAGGAGTTTTGGAGCTCATGGGCAGAGTATACGGCTGACATGTTGATACATGTTGTATTCTTTAGCGAAATGAACAGAGATGAAGATTCGGGTACATCCTTTCCTTTCATCAGGTCCTGTCAGGTGGTAGGGTGGACAACCGTCCGCAACAGTTGCGCGTTGTGTCAGGTGGAGGACCTGGAGCGTGTGTCCAAGTCCAATGATGCTGATGCGCCGTCGCCCAGTGGACTGGACAGTGTGTTCGATTCAGATCTGAAGCGAGTGCGCGTACAGCTCCTGTCTTACAGGGCCCAGGATAGATCAGGATAGGAGAAACTCCAAGTCCTTGAAAACAGTAGCCAAGCCGGCCAGGCAAGGAGTAACTATTTTCAGGCCGTCAAGTCTCGCTCAGGTCTATGCGCTCCGTGATACCTTGCTCCAAGCTGTCAAGGACCACAAGCTGGATCCGCGCTGTGACGGACTCGCTGGTCCACGTTTTTGAGGAGCTCTCGACACCAAGACGGCGCTTGGGGGGTTGACACCAAGCATTTGATGCCTTGAGCTCAGATGGCCGTCTTGCTTCGTTGCTGGGGTTGTGACAGGTCTAGCTATAGAGACATCCAACAAAGCGTGGTATGACACTTTGGTGAGAAGACTGGGAGACATAAGTGAGGATTGTTCGTGAGACATGAGACATTTGGCTCAAGTCATCGATTGCCTGACAAGCATATCCATTCTCTCAGCTGGTTGGCAGCTCAGACAACATTTTCTGTCCATTCGACAGATAGGGGAGACATGGGAGACACAATTTATGTATTCTTTTTGTGGATGTTGGGTGCCTGTCAATTGTCAATCCCACCCCAGATTCTGATCCCCAATTCCAAATTTGCCATTGGGAAAGGGAAGAGAAGTGACATCGAGGAGGTAGGGGTGTTCCAGAACTTGGATCTTGAAGACCCAATGTGTCTCAAGTCATTTGCGGATTTTGATCATTCGACACATACCATTGTCCAATCCATGAAATGCATCGTGTGATTTGACCATGTCAAGGCAATCAACCATATTCAACCATATATCGTGTGATGTGATATCCACGACCTTCTTTGCAGCGAGGTGACGCCAGCGATGACCTCTCTGTGGCGCTTCCTCCTCCTTTTGGCCACTGCCAGCGTCCTGGCATCAGGGGAGCGCAGCTCTCGCTATGACAAGCTGCTGCAGGCACCTGTCGACCGGCGTAAGGGCCACCGGACCGGTGCGACCGGTACCCCGCACAATTTGAGGAGGACGAAAGGGAAGAACTTGAGGCTTGGTTGGAAATGACTCAGGCTTGAGCTCCCCCATCTCTACTAGGTTCTTATTTTTTCTTGGAGAGGACTCAAGACATTTCAAGACTCAACAGGCACCATGTTCGGTTTCATCCAGTGTGTATGTGTTCGACTTACCGACTTGTGCCAGGAGTTGAAGAAGGTCGCGGACCCATTCGGTGTATGAAAAGCGCTTTCCTTTCCATGCTTAAAGATTCACAGAAGTTCAAACCCTTTGGTCTATATACATGGAGGGTTTGTTCACCTGCTGCAGTTTTCACAGATGCTGTGTCCAGAGTTTTGCTTTTCTGAAAAGCTTAGAGGTCTTAGAGTGATGGCTTCTTCAGTTGGCTCGTTGCAATGCGCTGCACTGAGGAGCTCAAAGAGGAGGGCGAGGTGCATGCCCACAATGAAGAAGAAGTGGCCAAGGAGTCTGGGTTGGTAATTATTTGCCAGTGTTCCAGGGAGATTCAGATCTTGTGGGACTTCGAACATATTTATATACATTGAATATCATTGAATAGTTCGGATCTCTATAGTTATATTATACTGATTTATACTGTATATATATATATATATATCATATTGTATAATGCTGTAGATCTTCCTCTCTCCTTCCTGCCTCCGACCCTTCGCGACACTTCGGAGACCCTTCAAGTGCCGGATCTCGGACCTCCGGAGCGGAGGAGCATGTGGGGCCGGTGCACCACACCCTCAAGGTCCGAGGAGATCGGGGGGATGGGCGGATGGCATCGGCCGCGATGTGGGTGGGATTTCATTGGAGTGTTTGGCTTGTGTATAAGATACTGCATAGAATATAATCTGATGACTTTAGGAAGCTTTGAAGGAAGTCAACAAGCGCACTCATCATCAGATATCAGCCACTGACCTACTGGGTATTCATGAGTATGTACATTCCAGCCACTCTGAAATTCTCACCGCTGCTCAGTTGTGAGCATTGCTGCAGGCAAGGAGGCATCCTCGAAATGACAAGTAGCCGTTCAGCTTACTATGGATGCTGATGCGCTTAAAAAGCTGCAGAAAACAGTGGTGCGGCATTGTTCCTTGGTCAGTTCGCTGCCTATGGTTGTGTTCAACCCAAAAATTCCTGAATTGGTGGAGCGAACTGACCATGGATAGTTCAGCTTCGTTCCTGAATTGAACGAACTCACAAGGGTGGTGTAGGCGATCGCCCGGACTAAGGGACGATGATGCCAAGGACATGGGCTTGTCGGATCCTTATAGCAGCTCAGTAGCCTTGAACATCCTCCCTCTTCCAGGACTTGCTGAAGAAAAAAAGAGCAATCCAGATTGCGGCAGGTGGTTCACACCTCAGGAGTCCAAGCATGCAGGATTTTGTTTTGGCTTTTAGGGTTGGTTTTCAATGGGTTTCAGGTCTTCAACTGCCTAAAAGGGATTTGGGAGTCCGGCATTGGAGGGGAGGCGGGCATTTCAGCACGTGTTGTGACCTTCCAAAGGAAGCCAGTGCTAATCAGCGCTACTTGCCCACAGTATTTCAGTATCAAGGAATGTAGACCAGTGACAAGAATGACCCAGATCCCATGTCCGTCCAATCTGTCGTCAACATGTTGCGTTTGAAAGTCGCCAGGTCCTCAAGATCGCCTTGGATTCGGTGAAGTCGCGCATCGATCGGCCGTGCACCCGGAGCGCGAGAGTGGTCGGCGCTTTTGTTCGCGGAGCGGTTTGTCTGGGCGAGCCGCTGGGGGGGGTCACCGAGGTTCAAAGCAAAAGGTGGAGAGGACCTCATCCAAGCCATGGCTGGTTGGAGGGCCAAGACATGCGGTTGCCAAGGTAACAGGCCTGGCTTTTCGTGGAAGAATCCAGCCAAGCTACAGATGACAGGATGAGTGGGTCATTTTAAGAGCTTGCAGAGCCAGAGATGTGAAGCGAAACTAGCAGAACGAGGAGGATATGGAACATGAAAAGTTGGAATGGACCCACTGTGTGGGCCTTTCTTGACTATATACTGCAGATATACGCAGCATCGATGAAGCCTTTGGAACTCAAATGCGAACTGGCGGAATGTGAGAGCACTTTGCCCCCCCCATCGCTCGATGGATGGCCGATGCTTGGCCAGCTTGCCCAAAGCGGAGCCTTGGACCTGACGCGTGTGACGGCAAATTCACCAAGAGAGGTGAGCCCAGCGAGGTATCAAACCATTCAGACGGACGGGTATGAAGACCATCGAAGACATCGACGCACCGGGATACACCGGGTTTCTGAAAGGTCTACGACATGTTCGGTCAAATGCCAACCCCAACGACGTTGACATGATTGCTTACCTCACCCTCCCCAGCCCAACACGCCATGGCGCTTGGAGCCGTCCAAAACCGGGTCCCGAGGAGCTTCACTTGCACCTGGAAGGCGCCATGCGCCTGGAGCCCCAAACACGGCGAACGCGGCAGCGGCGCGGTGTCGCTTGGTGGAGTCGGCGCTCAGGTGCTGAGACTCTCACGGAGTTATGCCGCAAGCACGGAGTGAAGAGACCCATGGACACGTGCAGAGCCTCAGCGAATCGGTCAGTCACTGGTAGAACTGGGGCGCTTCTTCACCTCACTTGCAGATCAGCATAGTGCTTCACAACTACAAGTCGTTACACATTGATACGAGTCTATCTTCCTCACATCCAAGGACCTAGGGCAAGTTTGGGGATTTGAGACGGTTTGAGACTTAATATGGATTCTGGATGAACAGTGACTGCACGCAAAAAAAAACATAAATCATAAATAAGTTAAATAATAAGAAAAACAAATTCTTTGTTCTTCCATGAGCCCAGGCGTGGCCAACGATTTGCAGATTTCTCCCCGCTGCTTGGAGAAACACATTGAAACGCAATGAGCGTTCCATGACATTCCAGTGTTGCGCATCGGCTCCTGATATTCTGTTGGAAAAGAAGTAGCTGAAACGAATGGACTGTCATGACTCCAGCAGTTCTCGCTTTCCCAACCTCCCCAAGGTTTCTTGAGAGAAACAGAGAAACAGCTGGACCAACAGGTCTTCCGGGTTTCAGCTAGGTTTGCCAGCTGCTACATAGCGGTGTGTGAGTGCCTTCGGGAGAAGGCAGACCTCGAGCGCTTGGTGCTAGAGGTGGCTGAGGATGCCTCAGCATCAGGCAGGGCGAGCAAGCACGACATGACCTGAGGGGTATCAGGCAGGGAGGGTTCAGTTTCTTGACACTTGGTTTCAGTATGGACCAAACGGACTTGGTTTGGACCTGTTCAGTTTGGTCGCGTTTGCCCCTAAAGGCCTGTTGAACTGCTCTTCTGAGTTTGCTGAAGGAGACCGATCTAGTGACACTGTTCCTAGATTGCCCAGAAGGAGGGGCAGTTATATAGCTGCCTTCCAAGCTGGATGTCAACAAGGGCTAACTGGCTCCTGGCTGATAGCTTTTTGAAAATATATAATAGTATAGTGATGTATAGTGCCTTTCTCAGAAAGATCTCATCAAGCATTTGATTTTCAATGGAGTTTGCTCTCATTCTGTGATTGTGGGCCTTTGTACCAGGTGCCCTTTGGATAGAGCCTGCGCTTTCAATCGATCTGTACGCGGACCAATTTGGTTTCTTTCCAGCATCCCAAGCCATGAGCAAAGGAAAAGCCAGATTTTACTCTGCGTGCATTTGCTTGTGACGTTTGTATGTTCCGTTAATTTGCAAAACCATTTGTGCAGCTCAAGGTTGTGTGTTCGTCCCTGGTTGCTCCGCTTGGACAAATTGAGGTGGTGTGGAAGCAACTTTGCATCTCCTCTTCCAAGCAGCAGAAGCGGCAGAAGAGGCCACGCAAGTGGCGATGGGTGGCTTGCCTGCACATGTGGGGGCGTGCCTGGATCTCGTTGCCCCAGGTTTTTGAGGTGACACACGGATGACATGAAAAAGTACGAAAAGAATCGAACACATGTCCAATTCACTTGACCCGATCGATTCAACACTGGTTCGTTTGACATCGGACCCTCCTTGAGTGGGCACTTGATGTGGAAGATGCGACGACTTCTAAAACTGGATTTGGCCAAGGGGTAGGCTGAGAAACGGGGGATCAAAGGCTCAAAATAACGAACTTCGGAGGATGCGTTGCTCTTGAGGATTCATCGTTGCAGCAGAGCGGCACCTTCCGGTTGCAAGAGCAGAGGCCTTGGCTAAGAAAGTCCCTCGGCCGAACTTCAGGAGTGTCAATACGTCTATAATTGTAAATAATATATAAAATAGTGTTATTATAATGTATTAATTATAGTGTTTGAGATTTATCATGATTTATCTAGTGTATATAGATATAGATAGATAGAGTCATACTGTCTCTGTCCATGGATCCATAACATCGGAGAATGATGTCAGCATGTGCATGGTCTATTCATAATATTTATAATTCTTTTGGTGCGCATGCCATCAATCATGGTCAGCAACTGGTCCGCAACTGGTCTTGACCAGGTCCTTCATGTGGTGATCTTCGATAATCATCTTCACCCAATTACACTCCAGATCTGGTAGACTGGGTAGATCTTCAGATGTGGTGACAGGTCAGAGATGTGGTGACAAGTGGAGCTGGAATCCATGGCCGTCCTGGAATTCTTGGCTTCGGCTTGCACTCTGATGAGGCCACGCGTGCCCTGTAAGTAGCCCATGTCCCAGGATCTCGAGAGCAAACAAAGATTCTGGTTGCAACTGCCTGGGTCTTTCAACGTCTCAGTCTAAAAGGTCTAAAGAGTCTAAAGCATGTCTTGGATCAGGCTAACCATCCGCCAGAACCTTTTGCAGAAGCCTTTCACCTTGCGTGCAGCGATTTGGTGGTCCCATTGCCACACGCAGGGGAGTTCGCCCCCACAGGAGGCGGAGCAAAAAGTGATCCTTGGCATCGGACAATGCACATGGGCTATGTCACAGTATGTGAAAAGATGTGGCGAAAGCTCACTGAGTTCTCCCGCAGGGCAGTGTCCGAGTTTGAAGTATTGTGCCGTCTCGTTTGGACTTGTTTTCCTGAAAAGACATTCCCTATTATTGTTCAGTTTGGGGGGGCTAGCCAGTGGAATTGTTCGTCACATGCCTTCCCATCGGACATCAGCGCAACCCATGGTCAGAGTCACAAAGTATTTTGCCTAGCACAATTTTATTTACAGTATACCAATGGGCAGTTTGCTTCCCAATTTGACCGAAGTAAAATACCTTGACGAGACGATTCCGGCTGTGATTCCGAACAGATGTCTGGGGCCTGGTTTGGGTCTTTCTCTCTACGAGACACCGCTCATGTCTTGGGCATGGACACGCTCAGGTGAGGTTCTGCGTGGACCATCTGAAGGCGGTCCGCATTGCACATGGAGTGCTGGCCGCTGAGGACCAAGAGCTCGTCGAGCATTTGGCCAAGCTCCAAGTCTGTCCGGGACCAAGCTTGTTCCGACTTCGGGTTTCTGAAAGTCAGTCTGGCCGGGGCAGGCCAATGCTTTTATATGATTTTATATGCTTTTATCTAGCCTTTTTGGGGGGTGGTGCAACCAACGGTTTGTGCTTCTGGTCAGCGTAAGCCAGTTTGGATTCTTGCACTGCCCAAGGCAAATTGGCTTGTGGTAACATTGTGGTAATTGATTCTTTTCACTAGGTGTCGAACTGGCGCCCCACTATGGCCCGTTCGCGACCAGGTCATCAGCACCGTGAACTACAACCCCCCCCGGAGTTTGTGTACGTTTCAATGGGGGCTCGACCGGCTTGCGGCTTGAGTATCACTGGCCCTACTAAATACTTGATGGCGGCCACTGACCCTTTGACTAGGTGGGTGACGGTCGTGATGCCACGCTTCGTACGCAACAGGCGACATGCCAGGTGACATCGTGTCGTTTCCGGTCGGTCCTTGGCAACCGTGGCTTCCGCTTGATGGCCCCAGGCTTGGACGTGTGCCCCACCAGCAATGAACTGCTTGGCGTGATGCCCGTGACAGAGTCTGCTCTGACGAAGCTCCTTGCAGCTGGTGTGCCAGCAACTCAGGGTGGTTGACCAAATCCTGTACCAGGCAATAACCCCAAGATTCAGATGATACAGTGATATACATTCACATAGTGACTCAGCGTGCCTCGTGGCTAGTTTCATTCGATCCGTGTAGGATAAAGACACTTGGTCGGTGTATCGACTGGTGTGGTGTGGATGGACAAGGATGGTCCCGAGTCGTCAGGCCTTGCACCATCAACTCGGATGATCCCTTGCTCTTTGGATCCAGTCTGCTTGGAGAGTTTCGACGCTGCCGAGATGAGCCACTTGGGTTTTATGTTTGGAACTTTTTGTGTTGCGCTTTGTATAGATCTTTTTAGTGTTTTCATGGGCCTTCACACGCACAGATGTCCATTTGATCCGATCTATCACAAACTCGAGTTGCCCTGCCAACCAGACAACAACAGACCATGTTTTTATCATCAGTGCTTTGTTGTCGATGTGCAACATGTTGGAGGTTAAAGATGTCAGATGAGCAGCTGGCAGCCTGTGCGGTTCCTCGAACTTTCGGTCAGACGTTGCTCTTTGAGGGTGCAATTATTTATTTGAAGAGCTGATATTCCAAGGGTTAGTTATATTGCGTATACATTAGCTGGGCGATGCTCAGATGAAGAAGCACCACCCATGCATATTGATGCCGCACTGCCTATTTTGCCTCACACAAAGGGTAGCCCAGCAAAGTTCATTGAAAAGGATTCATCATGCACGTAGGCAACCTCCTTTCGACATAGCCGAGCACCAGAAGAGATCAAGCAGAGGGGATTGCGAGCCGTTCAGGTGGGAGAACGGGTCAGGTGGGGAACGGGTCAGGCGTTGGGAACACAGAGTCTGCGTCTTGGAGGGGATGTTGTTGCATGTAGCATAAGTTTTGAGGGTAGAGTTTGAGTTTTTTTGTTGGGTGAACCAACCAGCACGGTTGTTCTTCAATGTTTGTGAACCCACCGAAGTTCCATGATGTTGGAAGCTTGAAACTCTTGGCAGGAATGGCTGGATGGGCCGAAGCAGGAAGGCTCCTTGATGGCATAGTGAAGCGGCAGGAGCAGCAAACATGTATAAGATATTGCAATATTGCGTGCTCCTAGTATACATTCCTCCCTCTGGGGTAGAATGCATCTTGGACTTTTGCGTCTACAATTGTGGCGAGATGCACATTGTGGTGAGTAGCTCTCATGGCCAGGCCAGTTGAATTGGAGCTCACCATGACAAGATATGCTTCTCCCAAAGTGTTTGCTTTAGAACCAACTGATCGATCTTTCCTAGACCCGAAACCTACATGCATTATTGATGATTGGCTTTGCGAATTGCGCATTGCAGCCAATGACCGAGGAGGCACGGCGGTTGCCCATGCGGAAGCAGTGCACGCGGTCCAAAATCACGCGTGTGGAGAGCACTTGACAGTAGTCAGAGCCAGAGCTGTAGTTTTATCAAGCTGGTTTGAAACATCAGTGCATAAGCCCTTGATCCTCCATCTCAAGTGCAAGCTCAGCCTGCTCAGCTGCATCAAGTCCATCCTTGTGCTTCCCTCCACATGGATTGTTTTACCTAAGCCCTGTACTTTTGCTTTTTGAGGTCAGGAATGGGCTCAATTGGAGGACATTGGAATCTACATCATAGAGTGACTCTTGTTGCTTTTGCAATTCTGCTTTCCAAGAGTTTAATTCATTGTTCACAAAATCGTTCACCAATAGCTAGTGGCTTTCCTCAGCAGCATGAGGAACGAATTGAAAGTGTGGATGTGTCCATTATTTCACTGACCTCCACGAAGCAAAACATCGCTGTGTATCGGTTCCTTCAACGATGTCGTGATGACTGCTATGTAGCAAGAAGCTGTAGTAGGTTGGAGGCCATCGTTACTAGTAGCAAGGACGCTACTAGTAGTATACCTAGTAGCGTCCGATCGCTCAGTTCGCAGCCATGCCCTTTGCTCGGTTCGTAGCGTTCGATCGCTCCGTTCGACGCCAACGAGGATCTGATCCAAGTGATCGAAGAAAAGGAGAATATCGGTGTCCGACAGGTGCTTGGCCCAATCGAGGGCCGACGTCACTTGAGCCGCACAGAAGCTAGCGGGACCGGGCCTTTGCGCTCCAAGAATTCGGTCAACTGGAACTGGGTCAACTGGGACCGGTTTAGCGGCCCCCTGTGCCGCACTTGCTATTAGGCTGTTTTATCTGAGCAACCATACCAGTCATGGCCGTTTTGGTAAGCATTCAAATCGTCAAAGACAGAAAGATTACAAACACCTGGCAAAGGGGCAGGCCCTCGCCTCAAAAGCAATGATGCTTTTTTGGTCATGTCCTTGGCACTTCCCTGCGGTGTTAGGAGACGCTCAAAGATTATTGCTTGCCCATGATGAGTTTAAACCCCACAGCTGAGCTAGTTGAGCCGTTGTTGAGCTGTCCACTTCGGTAGCACAACAGCAGACTGTCTTCTCCTCAGAGTTTAGCTTGCTCGCACGTGCGTGTGTAGGGACAGAAAGCTTCATTCCTGGTTCTGCTGCACATTTTGGGACCACAAGCAGTGCAACCTTTTGTGGTTGTTGGTAATGGCCCTTCCACCTTGATAGGGACTACCAGATCTAGCTGAACATAGACGACCTGAGAAGCTAAGGCACCAAGTTGGTCATTGGCGCAGTCCAGAGCTTGGAGTTGACTGTGAGCCTCAGGTTCATCGGGAAGCCCCAGAAGAACGAAAAAATTGCCGAATTACACATTCTACTCTAGGATAGGAGGATGTAGGCTCCATAAAGGTCTGGGTAGTAGGATGTAGGAAGCAGGGTTCATAAGCATTTACCACCCTCACGTGACTTTTGGTGTTTTGCCGCTCAAAGACTTTGCACAGCCCACCTGACCTGGTCACCCGAGTCATGGAGCCGCACTTGGAGGATGGTCCTCCATACCCTAAGCAAATCACTTGGATATCCAAGCGATTCAAGCTACTGGCCTCTCGTATGCTGAAGCGTGCCTCTCTGTGTGTGTGCGCCTCTATAGTCGTAAAATGTACTCAAGGCTTCACAGTGACACAAGCTACCTACGTTGTTGTCTCTTTAAGAACCGGGCTTCATTGGTGTGCACTGGTCAACTGTTGCTTCAGCGGCGAAAGCCTGTTACATCAGGCCTTGGAAAGTCTTGGTGGAAAGGGAACCAGCCGCTACTTTGCTGCACAAAAGATCTCAGCAATTGCTCAGAAGTCTTTTTGCTCAATCCTATTATGCACTGGTACTTGTTGGTGAAAGCAGCTAGGCCAAGTGATCGAATGGATCGAACAACATCCTGAAGAGTTGGAGAAGCTTCGTGAAGTTAAGCTGAACAAGTGGCTTTGGCTGCAATGAAGCGGTATTTGGGTGTGTCCTTATACAGGAGGAGACCCCAGAAGCTTCATGCAAGGAAACTAGATGAACATCGACGAGCCAAGACAGTTCAGTCTATGACAGTCTGGTGTTTTTGCGGTGTTTGGTGTTCGTGTGCTTGCGTCCTCTTTGCTGCCTTTGGGTCTGACCTGCAAAACTTCCCAGTCAAATCACTTTAAGCGTGAAACACTGGAGAAACTGTGATCTCATGCCAATCCAAGGCATGTGCGTGACGGTCATCGCCGGCCAGTTCTTTGTCTCAACTAGACTAGCAAGCTGATTATCCAGTACTTATCTATGGGGCTTCGTCTGGCATTTGAGGGATCTCCAGACGTTGACCTCAATTTAGTGCATGATAATGATGTTCTTGTGGAATTTGTTTGCTGAGGTGTGGCATTCCACGGTGCTACACTTAGCCTGGTATGTTTGCCCTTTTTGCAGCAAGTGCAAATGACCTCAAATGCCTCAACAGTGTTATTTGCAGGACCACAATTGTCAGCAAATCTCAGATGGCTTAGGTGACCTCCAGCATGCACCATTTTCGCAAAGTTACCAGACCGGGGCAGCTGCGCACTGAGAACCGAATGTTGTGTTCTGGTGTGGAAACTTCACCCCAGCTGCACTCCACCCCCAATAGCAGGACTCACGTCCTGAATTTCTGACAATACGACAATACGTCAATGATGCGACCAGGCCGGTCCTGTACCTCGCGGAGAATGCTGAAATGCCCGAGGCGGTCCTGCACTTTTCTGTTCTTGGATTCTTTGGTGACGCATCCCATGGCCCCATCTATTTCAGGAGCTTCCAGCAATCCAAGATGCCGCACCAAAGCCACGTGCCTCGAGGATGGGTCCACTGACTCCCTGTTTCTTCTTGCTTTTGTTCTTGCTGTTTTTGCTGACCATACTTGTATAATATGCTTTACTTGCATACGACAAGGTTAGTCTAGTTACAGCTGGAAGAGATCTATCCACTTTCTTTCTTTGCTAAGAGAGGTTTTGAAAGAACATCTTTCGAGACCAGCTCGATCCCCCGAGGGCCAAACGACCGGCTGAGAAGGCGGAGAAGGCGGTCGTACGGGGCTCCGGAGGAATCGCCTTTGTAAGTTGTATGAACATCTGAATCTGGTCTTTGGGTTTTTGAGTGCTGGTTTCATCATCCACTCATGTTTGCCTAATTACTGCCAGTTGGACGAGACTTTGTTGGTGGATGTTGGCCAATGTTGCTTTGGCACAACTTCGACGAGAAAACCAGTTTTTTCTGAAACCATGAACGCTGGAAACAACCCACTTCGCTGCAATGGCAACACCTTTGAGCAACGTCGCCCTTCTTCCGAGTCGAGGCCGCGCCGGAGAAGCCGAAGGCGAAGCCCAAACGAGCTCGAAAGGTGGCGACCGCCCAGCAAACACGAGAGGAGCGAAGCGGTGCGAAAAGGTGTTGGCACCGCACTCCCTGGTTTTGTCATGGAAGTTGAAAATGGCCCCTTGGATGACCAGTTTCCTCTACAAGCCAGTGATTTTCCACTTCCAGGATGATTCCAGGGAGTGTAGTGGGTACAATTCATGATTTGTGAACATTCTGAAAACTTGAAAACGGAGACTCGCATATTCATTATTTGTATAATTATTGGGATGGTTGTCCAAGTTTATCCAAGCCAAATCCACCAAGGCCAAAGCGGTCGCGCCGGCGGCTGAACCTCCAGTCGAGCCGGTCGAACCGGCGGCTGAACCGCCCGTGCAGCCGCCCGGTCCACCCCGGGCGCCCGAGGCGTCGGGGCCTCAGGCCCAGTCGGATATTGAAGAGAACATAGATGACATGATATGATCAAACCTGAGATTCTTTTACTACATTTCTCCATTTGTGGTTCATGTCGACGTTCTTTTTCCCCACCTGTCAGGTGAGGGTTGTTAGATTTTACGATATTTTACGTCAGCCCCATCTCCTCCTTCTCCTCCGCCTCCTCCGCCGGACCTCAACACGACCACCAGTGTTCCCTGCCGGAGCTCAACCACGACCATCCACGCCCAGTGTTCCCTGCCGGAGCTCAACCACGACCATCCATGCCCAGTGTTCCCTGCCGGACCTCAATCACGACCATCCACGCCCAGTGTTCCCTGCCGGACCTCAACCACGACCATCCGCGCACAGTGCTCCCTGCCGGACCTCAACCGCGAGCTCCAGGCCCAAGTGTTCCCTGCCAGACCTCAACCACAGCACACAACCACAGTCACAATTACAAACACACAACCACAAACACCACAACCACAAACACAACAACAAACACAAACACAAACACACAAACACAAACACAACAACAGACACACAGCTACAAACACAACCACAAACACAACCACAACACACAACCACAAACACACAACCACAAACACACAA